CGGTCATTGGGACGTGGCTGGCCGGTCGGTCGCCTCTCTCCATCTCCACCTATACAAATATATATATATACATATATATATATATATATATATATATCTCACTCTCCTGGTTACTGACTTTAACGACTGTCTGCCCCAAACAGACAGCAACCAGCATCTAGTCCGTGTTGCACCCTTGCTCTGGCCATTACAACTCGTGTCCCAGAAAGCAATTAATGTAAACAAAACTGACCGCTAATGTCTATTTGGAATGTATACAATTGAATACAAATTGGAGTATAAATATATTAATACTTAGAATTGGGACCTGACATAATAAGGGTACGTATTGAGAACTCGAAGCACACAATATCTGTATCTGTATCTGTATCTGTATCTGTATCTGTATCTGTATCTGTATCTGTATCTGTATCTGTATCTGTATCTGTATCTGTATCTGTATCTGTATCTGTACTGTATCTGTATCTGTATCTGTATCTGTATCTGTATCTGTATCTGTATCTGTATCTGTATCTGTATCTGTATCTGTATCTGTATCTGTATCTGTATCTGTATCTGTATCTGTATCTGTATCTGTATCTGTATCTGTATCTGTATCTGTATCTGTATCTGTATCTGTATCTGTATCTGTATCTGTATCTGTATCTGTATCTGTATCTGTATCTGTATCTGTATCTGTATCTGTATCTGTATCTGTATCTGTATCTGTATCTGTATCTGTATCTGTATCTGTATCTGTATCTGTATCTGTATCTGTATCTGTATCTGTATCTGTATCTGTATCTGTATCTGTATCTGTATCTGTATCTGTATCTGTATCTGTATCTGTATCTGTATCTGTATCTGTATCTGTATCTGTATCTGTATCTGTATCTGTATCTGTATCTGTATCTGTATCTGTATCTGTATCTGTATCTGTATCTGTATCTTATCTGTATCTGTATCTGTATCTGTATCTGTATCTGTATCTGTATCTGTATCTGTATCTGTATCTGTATCTGTATCTTATCTGTATCTGTATCTGTATCTGTATCTGTATCTGTATCTGTATCTGTATCTGTATCTGTATCTGTATCTGTATCTGTATCTGTATCTGTATCTGTATCTATATCTGTATCTGTATCTGTATCTGCTGTTGTCGAAGTTTGGTTGGCGAAGGCGTCACTTGGCCACAATTGAAAAGATATTTTAGCGCATCTTTGTCTTTGTCTGTGGGTTTGAGGTCCAGGGCACTAAACGCTCTAATTATTTTCTAACTGTTGAGATTTAAATGTCTCTGAGGCGTTGCAGCAGCAGCCGCAGTTAAGTTGGAGCAGTAGAAGCAACAACAGCAGTAGAAGCAGAAAGCGCTTTATCTTCATTTGGGCATTAAGCCGCTTAGTGCAGTTGTCGTTGTCGTTGTTGTTGTTGTTTTAGTTGTCTGGTTGTCTGGTTGCCTGGTCGTGTGCTGTTTGTTGGTCTCCTAGCTGCCGACTTTGGCGTTCCGTCGTTCTGTCGCTGTATTGTTGTCTCTCGCTCTGTTTGCATTAAAACTGATTTCGCCGCTGCCGTTGCCAGCGTCCCAGTTGCCCCTGGCTTTTGCCTCCAGTTTGGGGCAATTATTCAAAGCGTCTAAATTAGGTAATTGCCCTTTAAAGAATCATGCTAATTATTTATGTTTATGTGTGCGTGCGAGCTGCGATTGTGCCCGCATCCAATTCCCGTTCCCATCCGCAATGCATTTCGGCTGCGTTGTCATCGTTGTCCCTGGCCGGGTCGGGTCGGCATGGGTCGGGCTGGGCCGGTCCTGAACCCGGTCCGTATTCTGGGACGGTCCGCGCTTGTTTGCGGCCTTGATTAATGAAGTCGTCCTGCGGCCGTCTCCCGGACCAAAGCAGCGACAAAAACAACAACAACAACACTAACATGGGTCAACAGGCGTGCGCCGACTACGAAGGCGCCACAGCCCCTCCCCACTTGCCCCGCTCCCCCTGAGTTGACTTGTTTTGTTTAGATTTATGTCAAATTGTCGGCGTTGTTGGAGTATAAGTGCGGGGGGTTTGGAAACGTGCGCGTCGCTGTCAATTTAGGCATTATATTATGAAAGTTATGGATATACAGATAAATTAAGATATGAGAGATGTAGTAGATGTTAATAAATAAATATATCTATAAATAAACATCTATATGTATTGTACTAATGTACAATAATATGATTAAGATATATTAACATATATAAAAAATATCTATTTATATACTTATATATATGATGCATATAAAAAATATTTATTCATATTTACATTTATTTATTCAAGCATCTACAAATACTATATACATTATGTACGTATGTATATGTAATATACGCATGATATTTGAATGTCTACTCAAGGGTAAGCTCATGCTAAATAATGCTAATACCTATACTTCCTTTGCAACACAATTGTTTAAGACCTAAATTAAATTTAAATTCACATTTCATTAAACACCTTAAAACATGATTAAAGGCTATGCAGCTCAATTCGAATATCTTGGGAATACAACAAAGCGTTTATGGAGACGACACACGACACAAATTGATAAATAAAGTGCTCTCAAGAAAGCGAATTCAAGAAGTGGCCAATAGATATGGGTTTTGTGTGACTTAATAAATATTTAAAAATACATCAATAAAACTATCTGCAACAAAATGAAAGAAACATTTTGTTAAGCGTGACTTGGTAATTGTTAATTGATCAGTGTATCAATTAAAAACCATCTGCACTTATAGCCAGGTATTTTTAATAACAAATATAAAGGCATTATAAATAAATGCTGCAACACTTTTCACTTGGACAAGCCTGTTGTAAGTATAAATGTAACATAATTGATTTTATTTCGAGCGGAAGCTGCATTCCAGCGGGTCTGCTGCATTCAGGCCTTTAATTTCCTATGATTTATGCGTAACTGGCTTTCAGGCTTCGCTTCGTTTAAGTAACTTCCAATGTAGCCTGTCCAGCTGCGACGACATGGACATGTACACCTGTCCCGGGGCACATCCTGTGCGAAATGCAACTGAGAAGGAATATAACAAAAAAAAAGGAAAAAAAAAAAAAACAAGACACACACTCGACCAAAAGATACAGACACCAAAATTCAGGTTTAACTAGACTTTGGCTTGCCACAAAGACTTGAGCCGGACAGAAACAGGCGACGGGCAGCGACCGCCGGACGACGAATGTAGGGAGCTGGGAATAGGGTCTCGTCGCAAGGGAAACACCTGAAATACAGGTGAGCCCTGCATTTGCTTCTGGGCATGCTGAAGTAGCGCCCAAAGTATTTAGAGAACTGTCGGTGCGGTGCCGGGGCTATTAAATGTCAATGGATTTCTGCATGAATGAGTTGTGTATCTCCTCTGGGCATAGAGTCGTGGCATGGCCAGAGTACCGCGTGCCCCACCAAATGTACGCTGCGTGGCGGGTCTTGGCTCTCGTTTGTGCTCGTGTTCGTGTTCGTAGTTTGGTTCTGGTACCTTTTGCCCATTTGAACATTTGATGTTTACTGGCGCACGTAGTTTCATTTAAATTTCAATTGCCAAAAATAAATCTCTCTCGCCGCCTTGGCAAGTGCTTTGCGTCTCTGCCACCCCCTGGGGAGTTGCCGGCGGGGAGGCCCATCGCAATGCATAAGAATTTAATTTGCAACGCATTCAAACATAATTTTTTCCTTTTTTTTTTTTTATAGAGTTTATTGAAATATGTGCATGTGTGCTGGGCCTCAGACTCAGGCTCAGGCTCAGGACCAGATTCGCCCACTACGACTCGCCGCATTCAGTTCCTGTTAATTAAAATGTACAGCAGCAGTCGAGGCCCACGACGTGCCCCTGAAATGCCGGCCATAATTTTTCAAGAGCCTACCCAAAACTCCAACTAGAAGTATCTACGCCCACAGCTGCTGGCCACAGCTGGGAGCTCATTATGTAATTCAGGCAGCGATGAGGCTTATCATAGTAGTTGCTCCGGCTGTAGCGTTAAATCTTCAACTAAATATTAAACGTCGCCGCGCTCACTCTCTCCTCTAGCGACAACATAAAAGCGTCAGCTTTCCACTCTTATGCCACTCATTGTTTGGGGTTGCAAGGCTTTGGCTTCAACACTTGTCTGGTAATAAACGCAGCCTCCTAATCCGCGCACAGTTGGAAATATTTTTCATTAGCATTAGGCGGCAATAGGCAGAAAAAAAAAAGTGGAAAAGCAAAGTAACAACAGTTGGCCATAAGCTTGCCACGTTTTCACGTGTCGGACTGCTAAATCTTTTGTGCCAGAGCTCGATAACGTTCTGACCCCGACTCCAGTGATTCCCAGCCCCCAATCTGCTAACTGCTAAACACATAAGTTCGCCACGTGTAGCTGAGTGTGCGTGCGTGTATGTGTGTGGTGGCCTTTATGGCTACGTGTTTGGCAAACGGAAGTGGCCACATAGCTATAGCTACAGATACAGCTACTTAAGTATCTATCTTATGTCTGTTTATGTATCTGTGGCTCACCTATGAGGCGTTGCCCTGTGATTTACACGCCGCAGTTTAACGCTTTAACGACTCCCATTAGAAACAATTGCGAGAAGTTTTAATTAAACTGTGCCACTCATTACATGCGTTGTCGTTCCCATTATTATTGTTCTTGCCTTTCTTGCCGCCAACAATAAGTATTCATAAGTGTAACCCAGCTGGGCGTCTCGTCGACGCGACGTCTGTCTTTAAAATTAGAAGTAATCGCGTATTTTTACGCTCCAATTGCTCATTTCCGTTTGTTACTTTTTTTTTTTCATTTTTATGTAAGAGAATTCGCTACCAGTCAAGCATAACGCATAACCCTCGAAGAGTTTAAAAAAACCAAAGTCTATCCAAAGTACAGAGAAGCTATTGGCGAAAGGCCGATTCAATTGTGGAAAGATTTATGACCCTTTTGGTTCGGTTACCTCTGAATACATTTAGTGCTGCTAAGTTCAGTTAGAATTTAAGCAAAAGTAAATGCAGTATCTCATACCTGAAAGGTTTTTCGCTCTATATGCATGGTCTAGTTTTTTATAACCAGTTAACCAGCTGGGCTGGCCAAGTCATGTTGGTTCTCAGCCAGGGACTTGCTGGAAAAAAGACATTTATCTTCATTGTAATTTTAAATACATAAATTTTGTAAGCCTGAACTTAAGTGTATTCACATTTTCTGATATCGCATTACTCTACAGAATTTAATAGATCCATTGTGAATATTTATTAATACAATTGTAAAAATAATTTTAATTGAAATAATTATAATAAATACAACTTGTAGCTGTGTGCTTCGCATTAATCTTGTGGATATTCCGACAAGGACGTTCCATTAATACACAAGAAATCGCAATGATATTCTTGTTTTATTTCTTCTTTTAACTAATCTTGGAATTATACAAAATCAGACTCTGCTTACATCATATACTGCGAGTTACCTGAGCTTGGCTTTTGCTAGATATTTTATTCATTAGTAGCCGCAACTTGTCGCCTCTTGTGCAACTTGAAGCAACATAACAAACATATTATGCCCATTTGTTTCGGAGCGCACAAAAACAGAAGCAACAACTGCTACGGCAACTGCTCTTGGCCGGCAACTGTGACAATCAACTGGGATATAAACTCCGCTGGGCAGCCAACGCCACATCCGCTACACCACATACCCCCACCCACCACACACACACACATATATATATATATACACCCAGTCGAGTGTCTCCGAGCAGGCCCCGCTCTGTGCTTAAGCTGCCGCGATACTTTTGACTTCCTCCGGCACACACACACAGAGAGAGAGAGAGAGTGAGTGGACATAGGCTGCCCAAGTGGGAGCTAGCTGTGGGTATCAACCAGGGGGTGGGGGTCCAACTGGGATATCCACACGCCACACAAAATTGCGGCTTTGCAGTGCAACAATGAGATACTTCAGAAAGAATTAGTTGCACTAAAAATTGCAAAAGTCTCACTGGACCCGGGTCGCATCGGGTTCAGGCTTCGTCGACTAGGGCTACTACTACTACTAGACCAGGATAGACTTTCACTGTTGTCGCTGTTGTTCATTCTCCCGTTCCTGTTGCTGCTGTTGTTGTTGTTGTCCCTGTGCTGTGCACTTTGTGGCACGCCGGGTGGTAGGTGGCAGGATACGGCAGCTGTAGCCGACAAGGGACACTGGATGACTGTTTTTAGCGGTTTTACCGAACATGTTTATAGTTTGACAAAAGAGTATATTAGCCCGATCATTAAGTTTGCAACACAATGCCCAAGCAAATCGGGTACTTGACTTTTTCAAATGAACAACTTATTTAGATAAGTAGCAATATATTGGTCAAAGCAAACATGGGTAATTAAAAAGTTGATATATAACTAACAGGAAACTAATATCTTTAACTAACTAAATATATTATTATTTCGGAAAATATATTTTCATTATAATAATTTAATATCATTTGTTAATTTAAGGCATCACTCAATGATAGAATATCGTAGAATGCGGAATTTATTTGGTGTCAATTTATTTTTCTTCTTATTGAAATAATTAAATCTGTTGAAACTGGCATATTAATTATTATTTCAGATAAAATTGTAATTATTATTGATTAAATTCTCAGCTTTGTTGTTGGTTTTTGCAAATTGAATATACATTAATTAAAAAATGGTTTTCATCATTTTTGTTTTTATTTCTGTTTACATTTAAGAGGAACTCGAAGAGGAACTCGCAACTGTGTAGAGTAACAACAATTTGGAAATTGAAGCATTGCTCAGCAGAAGATAGTTTTTGTTGTTTTTTCTTCTCTTTTTTTTTCCGGCTGAGCCGGAGCATGAGCTGGCATTAGAATAAAGGCAACGTTTTTACGCTTGCCGCTTGTTGTTCTTGTGATTGCTCTTGTGGCAGCTTGTTGTCCTTGTTGTTTTTGTTGCTGTCGTTGTTTTTGTTCTTGTCGTTGTTGTTGCCGCTTTACATAGTCGTTTAGCCCGGGCAAAAGTTGCAGACGCTCTTGCCGCAGTTCTTGTGGCCGTACTTTTTGAAGGCCAACGGCGTTTTTAATTCAGCTTTGGCTGTAGCTTCGCTTGCTGCATTTCTTTTTACGGGCTTTGCCGTTGTTGTTATCTAACATGTTTAATTCAAGGCGCGTCTGCTGGAATTAAAGCGCCGCTCAGCCGGAGCCCACAGGTCAACCATAACGAGATCTCTCCGTACCGTTGATAAATTGTCATGCTCCTGGTCCCAGCTACTCCAACTGGGGCGTCTCATCTCGTGCCGTCTCGTCTCGTCGCGACTCTTGCGATGCATGGCAAATTTAGCGTAAAATTTTTGTAGCAGAGCATGGAAGCGGGACGCCGTCAATGACAGTGATTACACCTACTATAATTCCCCTATTCCGATAGCTATTGCTATTCCGATGCCGATGACGATGTCGCAGCCAAAGTCGATGCTTTCTTCTTCTATTATTCAGTTTGCGCTCTGTTTCGCTCCGTCGCTGCAAAATTTTGCCTTTGAGTTACGAGTTTGGCTTACATAAAAGCCGCTCTGATTGCCGTAAATGATACAACATAATTATGAGTCGAGTCCCCTCCAAAACACAAATGAGCGATGTGTGGATCCAAACAAAGGCGCACAGTGTAGCTATGTGGCGCAGTGTGTGTCAAAGCAAACAAATATTAAGATACGGGCCAGGGTTTTAGTGGCTGGGGATAAATTATAGGCAAAGGTTCTGCCAATGGCCATTCAAAACTGGACCCGAAAAGTCACTCAAATTGCCGACAATGACAGAGCAAACTTTAAAATCTATGCTTATGTAACCCAAATCTTTGTACATAAATCTGTTCACATATATATGCATGCATATGTATGAGTGGGTGGGTGTTGGGAGCATACACGCTATGTTGACACACACAATCAAGCAATCAAAATCTAAAAACTTTATCCTCATTTATTTACGTGTGAGACCAAACAGTAAACGTCATAGAATCCCAGACATATGCAACATAGTTGTATATACACACACACACATGTGTGTGTATGTGTGTTTGCGTCTGTGGAGTGGAGTGGGTGTGGAGCACCCTGAAGGCATAATCAAACACAGCAGCGCACACTAATGCAGTTAACAAACTTGCGGAAATACAAGGCACACACATCCAAAACGTGCACATATAGAAATATGCGTGAAGGAGTCTTAAGTGCTGCTCACATACACATATGCACAAATACAAATGTACACATAGACACAATGATGATGATGTATTGTGTGAGATGTGAATGTGATTAAATTTCCATAGCAGCTCGTCTTTCATGCCAATTTTCCATTAGTGTTGCCTCTGCTCAGGCAGCTCCTGTTCGTCTGCCCTTGCCAGGATGCAGCCCAAAAACTCACACCCACTTAAAAGCACATCAACTAAAACACACACACACACACACACACTCATCAGAAACACACACAATGTGTAAGTGTGCGTGTGTGTGTGTGTGTGTGTGCGATGTTTGCCGTAAGCTTCGCGCGTCAAAACTGATGATGAATAGTTTGTTTGATGTTACTTTGACCCTCCTTGCGATCAGCAAAAATAACTCTGGGTGTGTGTCTGAGTGTGTGTGTGTGTAAAGGCTAGTCGGCAACCTGAATGAACACATTAGCGCATTTAAACGATAATCAGTGCAAAAATTTAAGATCAGAGCATAAGGATATTATGAATATAATGGAACGTGTGAGTAAATAAACTTATTATATCCTTATATCCTTCAGCTGCCTTACCTCAATTTTAAGCTCGTAGCTTGAAGAATAAAAAGGTATAAACACCAAGGTATTATCACCTGCAGACTTTCTTATCGACTCTTGATTTGCACGGCATTGTCCTCAGTTCGGATATTTAACCACTTGGGAATTTTATTGTCTAATAAGATTTGATTTATTTTAATTGAATATTTTATATTTCGATAATAGCAGGCGCAATTTGAGACCTCACATTCTAGTCTAGAATTCATTACAAATTTTAATTTCAATGCAACATACAAAAATTACAGTTTAATAAAATATCAATATTCTTGATCAAGAGGCTGTGAAACATCTTTAGCTATCAACACAAGATAGTGTTGATAAGAAAGGATTCATTAAGAAGGGATTGCATAAAGTATTCGAAATATTCGGAAATGTGACTTAGTTCCTGTTGCAGATCTTCTATTTATCGCAACATAAACATTTGTTTAGTTTTGAAGTATTTATTTAAAATTGATGCTAACATTTTCTACCGTATTGAAAATACCGAATTGACTTTGGCGTTTGAAGCTATATATGCCAAGTTCTGTGAACGAACCTCCCGAATGCCTTCGAACCTCTTTGTCTGGCGTTAAGCTGGCTTCTAATTGTGCGCTTCGAAACAATTAAATGCTTAACTCGGCAAAAGTCTGCGGTGCGCATTAAATCATCAGTCTGCTGTTAACTACAACCATTGCCACTCGGCTGTGGTGTCAACCTCATCTCCTTGGCGCTGCTGCAGTGCTCCATCAGCGCCATGCAAAATAATTTACATAAGCAGCGACCGCAAACTGCAGCTCCCCGAGTTGAACGAGATGGATGGGGCGTTGAGGTGGGATGGTGAGCGCGACACAGGCGCCCGGGGATGCCAAATTAAAGCCAAGCCCCAAACCCGAAAAACCCATGCAGGCAAATCCCTCGACCGGGCTAACAACACAGCTAAACAAAAAACCGAAAACATGTCGGAAGGCAACTAATAGCCTTTCGACTGACCGATGCCCTGTAATTGTGTATAAATATGTTCACCAATCATTTTGTATTTAAAATAAAAACTATTTTCGGTGGCTGACTGATCAGTCCGATCATCAAGCATTTTAAAAAATATTGTCGAGTATTTTGTTTTTAAGAGATAGTTTAAATAAACTTCCCACACAAACGTGGAAGATGGGTGAAACACACTATCAGATTTGTTTATTTTATTTTTTTGGCGTAGTGAAAAGTAACAGAAGCTGGATATATATTTGGTAAGTTTACTGCTTCTGACTCATAACAACTATAAATGAATAGCACACCTTTTCCGGCAATGTCTGGCATACAGGGTACTCAAAATCTATAGGTTTGTTCTTCTGCGA